AATATTAGGTTAAATTACTTGTTACTATTTTAAAGTGGCGCTGGTGCATTATAATTTTTGTCAAAATTAAAACGCTTATGCCTCTACCTAATGGTGTTATTCTAGACTGGGTTAATTGCGTATAATAAAGGTTAAGTGAAGCAATTGAGACGATTTTATATAGTATAATATAATTAATATTGACTCTTACTTAAGTTGCAACCCCACGAACCCTCCAAATTCTAGACTTTTTATTAATTAATAAAAATAGTTTAAACCTTTGACCCTTCTTACATCTAACATCCAAAACACTGAAACTTACAATATTTCCTAATCAGGGGTAATATATGTAGGCTGATTGATAAGCTTAGGAGGATGCACAATGTGCCGATGAGGCCTAAGGATCAATGAGGGGCAACACCATTACAAGCTTATAATTTGATTTTTTGAAATTTTTAAGTGCTGCTGCCGATAGTAATTAACTTCACCAATCGATAAGTATGAAATCTACATCACCGATAATAATAACATTAACCTTAGAGTTTTAAAACATTTAAATACTTATAATAACCTTAGACTTAAACACCTAAGTTGCAACCCTGCCAACCCTCCAAACTCTAGACTTTTTAATAGTTATTAAAAATAGTTTAAACCTTTGACGTTTCTTACATCTAACATCCAAAACTCTAAAATTTAGAATATTTCCCATTCAGGGTTAAGATATGTAGGTTGTATGATGAGATGAGGAGGATGTGCAATGTGTCGATGATGCCTAAGTACCAATGAGGGGCAACCCCATTGGTTATAATTTTATTTTTTGAAATTTTTAAGTGCTGCTGTAGACAGTAATTAACTTCACCAATCGATAAGTATAAAATATAATTTAACAACTGTTTTAATATCTGACATATGGTTGTTCTTTAGGATTAGTGATCTTCAATTCTGATATCTGTTGAATAAATTTTAATTAGAAACATATTTACTTTTTTACTGCTACATATCAGAAATAATAGCTATACAGCTAACAGATAAAAGCGTTTTTATTTAAAATATCTACATTATTTCCTTTGCGATTTAAGGAATAAGATTTAATTATAGACAAGAAATATTTGGACGAAGACACCTAACATAGACATGTTAGTTTACTTTTGTATGCTGGCTAAAGAAAGAACCAATAGATCTTTAACAACTGTTATAGTTATGAAGCACTTAGTATTATTTGATTTTTTGAAATTTTTAAGTACTTCTGCAGACAGTAATTAACTTCAATCGATAAGTATGACATCTGCATTATCGACAATAATAACATTAACCTTAGGGTTTTAAAACATTTAAATACTTATAATATCCTTAAACTTAAACATCTAAGTTGCAAACCCTCCAAACTCTATATAATAATACTTATAATATACTTATAATATCCTTAAACTTAAACATCTAAGTTGCAAACCCTCCAAACTCTATATTTAAAAATAGTTTTAACCTTTGACCCTTCTTACATCTAAAATACATTCATTATTAAAAGATTTAACCTTCTTGTCTTACATCCTTACAACCTGTTAATTCCACCCTCCCCCCCCTGTTTGAATCTGACCAATAATAGTGTCCCTTCAGCGTTAATAAAGATTTAATTCCCCCACTCCCCCGTTTAAATTCGACTAATAGTAATTACATGCTTAGGTCCTCGATTGCGCATGATTTTTCTTTTCAACCTTAATCTTTTAATATTTGAAAATCTCTTACACCTAACATCCATTAATATATCAAACTTAATCAATCCTACACCTATGACGCTCAATGTCTAGGCCGGATGTAGCGGCCGGCGGCGCCTGTATTCCGTGTATTGCGGGTTGCCTTGGAATTAGACCGTGTATTGCGGGTTGCGGTGTGTCCAGGTGCGGTCTCGAGTAGCCCTACTTCTACTTACGATATATTTATACAATGAGTGAGTCAGAGTTACCAAAATTAGGGGAACCAGATTCGTATTTGTTTTTCTTGGTGCATTGCGAGATATTGTCATTGCATAAAAAACTACTTTATGCAATGATATTGTTATACCTAACGCAGTTCGATTTTTTAGAGGGCTTTACATTATTTTTATATTTTAATTTAGTGAATAGGTTTAGTTAGATTAAATTACATATAGGAGTATAGAGTTGTGAAATATAAATACAAATAACGAAAAAATAGACGATTGGTTCGAATAAGGTAATATCAATTAATACAGGGTATTTATTAATTGAGTGCCGATACTTAAGGGTGTAAATCGCTGGGTGTTAAAGTTTTAAGAAAAAAATAACTATTTTATCATAAGTTTCTTATCACTCTAGATATTTTTATGAAATTTTGCCCAAAAAAAAGGATTTTAAAGATAATTTTGGTTTTTAGAAAAAGCAGTGGCGTACCATATTTTTGTTCAAAAATATTCAGTTCAAACCCGGTACGGACGTCACTGGTAAAAAATTTAGAAGTCTTTTACGACGAAAAGGTGGGATTGAAAGTGAAAGTTTAGTCTGTTGGTACATAATATACTATATTTATATATCTAATTTTTATTATTACACTGAATGTGACATGGCTTTTTTGTTTGCCTTCTTTGGATTAACCAAATATTATTTTAATGATTTAAAATAAACTGCCAGTAATAATAATTATCTGTACTTAAACATATACAAAGTTAAATCATAAAACCAAAATAAAACCAAATTATTAAACTTTTAATTTACGTAACAAGTATTAAAAGAATTTTTAAAAAACCGACTTTAAAATGGTGCAAATGTCATCACCACATCTTAACCAAATTTATATGGGACCACCCCTGAGGTACCCTCTTACTAACGAAAAGAATTATAGAAATTGGATAAGGTGGTAAAGAATTATCGCTAAACATACATAGAAAATGAAAAGTTTGAGGATTTGCTCATTAACCCAATTATTAGATTTTGACCAAATTTATATGGGACCATCCCGAAGGTACCCTCTTTCCAGCAAAAAAAGAATCATTTAAATCGGACATTGTGTTAAAGAATTATCGCTGAACATACAAAAAAAAAAATATATACAGACGAATTGAGAACCTCCTCCTTTTTGAAGTAGGTTAAAAAGGATATAATAATCTATATTAATTGTATTAACTAAAAAACTACTATGTGGAGTTATATATATATCTTCTTAAATTAATCTTATATGTAAAAATGTGGGTTCGGTTCCTAGAAGAGTACCTAGTTCACTATGCAGCCAAATTTATATTAATGATACAGAATTTTTTGAATAAATAAAGTTTTAGGTTTAATTAAACACCAAGTTTTATCAGGAATAACATTTTATAAAAAAGTAACACAAAAAGTAGATTTTCTGCGAGCCACTTTATATATTTTAGAGGACAATACATATTATTTTAGAAAAATAAATAAAATTTTGTATAATCACGTAAATGTGATTTATCTTTTAGAATATTGTATATGTTTGTCAAAGTTTAGCATTTTTTTAAAAAAAGAAAATTTTCTTAGTAATTTCTTAGTAAAATTAAAAAATAATCCGTAAAAATGGTGTACTATGAAACACTTGCATATAATATATACAATATACCAATCTTAGTATTACAGAAATAAATGACGTAAAAAATAAGGTGTACAAATACATAAAATTTATTCATCCCTCGTAAAACATCAGAAAAATATATTATAAATTGTTTTCATTCTCAAATATTAATTTCTTAAAATTCTAACAGAGGCGCCACTTTCCAGACGAAAAATCTTGCAATGTAAGGGTTTCGTAGTACCCCACTTTTAAAGTTTATTTTTCACTATTTTTAAAAGTAAAAAATATGTACGTGTAGGTAAAGGTTAGGTCTATGCTCCTCTGGAACCACTTTTTCAAAATTCAATTTTGTTTTTTCTAAAAAAAATTGAGAAAATGGGTAAAAAAAGTCGGGTTGTGTATTTTTTTTTAGAAAAAACAGTTTCAAATTTTAAAAAAATTGTCTCCAGAGGAGCATAGATATATCCTTTACCTACACGTAAATATTTTTTTCTTTCAAAATAAGTCAAAAATAAACTTTAAAAGTGGGGTACTACTAAACCCTTGCATGCTCCGCTCTACAGCCAAGTAAATACTCCTCTTAAGAACATTTTAAAGTCCAACAATTTTATAAATTGCATTAAAAAACCGACAAGACTGTTTTTATTGAAAATTATTTAGATTGACAGGGACATTTAATTAAAAATAAAAATAATAAAAAATAATAAAAAACAAGAAAGCAACAGTTCTATTTATAAAAATACCAAAAAAATCAAATATTCAAAGAATACACGAAATCTTTAACATACATTTTTGTATTAATACAGATTTTGAAAAATAACTGAATAAAAATGGGGGTTAAAGGGGATGAAATTTAAAAAAAAAATCCTGATCCAAAACCAAATTTAGCATAAATCAATTTTTATAAGGAGCCAAAGCCTATTGATTTTTAAAAAATACTGATAAGGGCGATTAAGGGAGGTTGAAACTAAATAAAATATATAAATCAAAAACGAAAAACTATAACAACTTGAAAATTTCAAGACAAATCAAGCTTTATATGGGTAGGAAGTGTATTAATTCTGAAATAAATGAGGGGTTGAGAGGACTTGAAATATTAAAAGCAATCCTAACTCAAAAACGAAAATTTTACCAAAAATCAAACTCTATAAGGGAAAAAAAGTTGATTTTTTTTTATATGTATGAACTCTTTGTGTTGTCACGTCATTTTATTTGTTTCCTAAATTTTTGACAATTCGTATTTGTTAGAGTTACATTTTTTTTATTGATCCCAATAAGTTATAACTACAAAAATAATTTCATTTATCCCCCCTTCTCCCCATCGACGCTGTGCTTTTTTCTCTCGTTAATCTGACAACCCTAGTTATATTATGTATTAAAACTAGAAAATATTTCCATGCGTACAATAAATTTCGTTTTACTTTTATAAATACAACACTTTATATAAGAATTCTTATCTTATTTTGTTTACAACATTACAGCCCTGATGGTGGACACAACTATAGAAACGCAGCTAACTTAAGAACGTACATTAAGTGAATACCTTTCGAGAACAAGATGGGAAATTGTTCATCTTATTGTTTGACTTGCTGTTGCAAGCAGTGTAAAAACCAAAATGTAAACGAAGAAATTCCTCACAGCCCCCCCGTTTCAGTAATAACTGAACAACCATCTTCATCAAGAAACAATACCAATAATACAAATAATAACAAGAATGCTACAGATAATTCAGAGATAAGTAGAAAAATAAGGGCAAAAGATAGTTTAAGAGGAGAACCTTCAAATATTTCATCAACTTTAAAATATCCAGAAAAAACTGATTCAATAGAGACTTTTAGGAGAAAGTACAAAAATCAATTATTGCTAGATTATAGTAGATTTGTACCAGAGAGTAATAATAATAATAATAAAGTTGTTGCAGATAATTCGAAAGAAAATATAAAAGCAAAGGAATTGGTTAAAAAAGATAGTTCAAGACATGAACCCACAAAAATTTCATCAAATTTAAAATATACAATTTTAACAGAGTCTTTACGAAGGAAATCCTCAACTATTTCAGCAAATTCGAATTATTTTAAGAAAAAGTATGGAGAAATAACTATAGTAAAAGGCGAATTTGTAAAAAAACATGGTTTAAGAAGAAGGTCTTCAAATGATTCAGAAAAATCAAACTCATCAGAGTTAGGTAGAGAAATAATAAACAAAATAAAAACTTTAAGAATATCGAAATTTACCCGATCTCAAACAGTAACAGAAAATTCAGAAATTTTAACACAATTACTGTTAGAAGAAGGTGAATTTGGAAATTTCACAGAACCACTAATTAATAATCCAGATAAGATCTATACATTAAAACAGTTGGATGAAAATTCTACAGAATACACGTTAATATCAAATTTTTTTACATCTACCAACAAGCGTTGTTACACTATACAAAAGATCGAAGAAATGTTTAATCCTTATTTATTTTTACAATACAGACTAAAATATTTGGAATATATAGCCAAGAAAAAAAATGTTAATGAATGGATGATGTTTCATGGCACTAAAAAAAGCAACTTAGACAACATTTGCCGGAGTAATTTCAATTGGAGACTAAACGGTATAAATGTTATTCCACCGGAAAATTTAAAATTAATAAAAAATATGTTGCAGGTCTAAAATTCGGATCGAAAAATGGGAAAGGCGTTAATTTCGCATCGAATGCTTATTATTCCACCCATTACGGAGATACTGGATTCGATAAGATGATGATACTAGCCAAAGTTTTGATCGGAAAGAGTCGTCAGGGATCAGCGACCCTTTTAGTACCTCCAGGAGATGTCGATACCACAACGGATCACAGAGAACCACCCCAAGTGTACGTTAAATATGATGATAACACTTTTTACCCAGCTTACATAATTTATTATAAAGGAATTGATCAGAATCCGAAATATCCCAATGGAGGATTAAGAGGTAGAGGAAGGGGAAGAATTATACGTAGAAGAATTGTATATAACCGAAACATTGTTTAAATATACAAGTAATTAATATTGTTTTCAAGGCAACAATTTAAAAATAATTATATAGAGTTTTCCAAAAGCGAGGATATGTCAAATATAATATAAAATACGCAGTGTGTTTCATTTAAAAAAAGGTAACTTTAATATGAATCACTTTCTTAGAAAACCCTGTATAATTTAAAATTATCTGTATACATTTTTTTGGACACACTGTATCTTAGCACGTCGTTAACAACTAAGTATATTCAGATATTGTTGTTAACGACGTGCTCGAAGAGCACGTCGCAACCTATTATACAGTGGGTCTCAAAAAAATTTACATACATGAGAAAAATTTTGTTCATTCAAGTGATATAGAATTTTTTATCAAGAATAATTAGATTTTAGGAAAAACAAAACTTTTTCTCATGTGTACAAAACATTTTAGAACACACTGTATGACGGATTGTGACATGCTCTTCGAGCATGTCGTTAACAACGAAATGTATTCAAATATTGTTGTCAACGACGTGCTCGTAGAGCACGTCGCATTATATTATACAGTGTGTCCAAATAAAAAGTAAACACATGAAAAAAAGTTTTAAATTATTTCAAGTGATGTAAAACTTTTTATCAAGAATAAGTATTTTTTTGAAAACGAATAATAAATTGCCGGGATATTACTGGCCTTTTGCTATAATTGAAGAGAAAATTAATGCCACGATTAAAAGATAAAAGCCTATTTTTAGTTTCTCGATAGTGGCCCAGTATTATGTTGCTTGATGATGGTCTTATGAAGAGTAAGTAACTGTATTGGGTAAAAGCATGGTAAAAGTTAAAAGACTTTTAACTGCCGCAGACCCGACTCCGTCCCGCGTTCATACATGGAGACACCGATGATCGCTTGTTACATACTCAGTGAGAAGACATGTACTATGAGGCCAGTCTCGCATTGTAGGTATTAACTATTCAGTATTTATTGTAATTTTTTAATTTTACATGTTATTTTATGAATAATTTTTTTGAAGAAAACATTTTTTCTTTATTATATTATATAGCTAAATTAAATAAAATATCTACAATGTTTTGTTTTTGTATAGAATTTATAGTTCAAACGGTATTTCTGGTCAAAGAGGCACTATCGAATATCCTGTCTGGTCAAGTGCCTGACACATGGCCTTTATTCAGCAGCCAATATTAATATGGTAAAAGGACAGCAATGTTCTGTTGACTTCCCATCAACAGGCCATTAATTGCCAATATATTTATTTTTAGACATTAAAGGAAAAATGCAGGCCTATTAATTGGATTTAATGACACAGTGACTTCGGCTCAACTGGCGGCAGTAGTGACCTATATATGCAAGCCTTTCAATTATAAAAGTTAAATGGCTAGCATTACAATTGGAGGGTAACAGTTATTGGGCCTTTTATTACCCTGCACAAAGTGTTTGCTAGGACTTTTCTTGTTTATACATTTTTTTGAACATACTGTATAATAGATTGCGACGTGCTCTTCGAGCACGTCGTTATAAAGAAGTGTCTTCATATATTGATGTTAACGACGTGCTCGAAGAGCACGTCGCAATCTATTATACATTGTGTCCAAATAATATAATAGAAACGGCAAATCTGGCAACATTGCAAATATCAAATCTGGAATTTACGTATCCCAAAATAGATGTACCACAAATATTGTACAATTAGAATTAGCAATTTATGAAATAATTGGCCGTTTCCAGACTTTTGGGCCACTCCGTATAATAGATTGCGACGTGCTCTACGAGCACGTCGTTAACAACAAAGTGTATTCAGATATTCTTGTTAACGACGTGCTCGAAGAGCTCGTTCCAATCTATTATACAGTATGTCCAAATAAAATGTATGCACTTGGGAAAAGTTTTTTTTTTCAAGGGATATAGAACTTTTTATCAGGAATAATATTTTTTTTGGAAAATACTGAAACTTTTTTGTTTATACATTTTTTTGGATAATAGATTGCGACGTGCTCTTCGAGCACGTCGTTAACAATGAAATGCATTCGGATATTGTTTCTAACGACGTGCTCGAAGAGCACGTCGCAATCTATTATACAGTGTATCCAAAAAAATGTATAAACATGAAAAGTTTGAGTATTTTTCAAAAAAATTATTATTTTTGATAAAAAGTTCTACATTACTTGAAAAAACTTAAAAGTTTTCTCATATGTATACATTTTTTTTTTTTGACACACTGTACAATAGATTGCGACGTGCTCTTCGAGCACGTCGTTAACAAGAATATCTGAATACACTTTGTTCTTAACGATGTGCTCGAAGAGCACGTCGCAATCTTTTATACAGTGGGTCAAAAACTTAAATTTTTCTTGTTTATACATTTTTTTGGACCTGTATAATAGATTGCGACGTGCTCTTCGAGCACGTCGTTAAAAATGAAGTGCGTTCGGATATTGTTTGTAACGACGTGCTCTTCGAGCACGTCACAATCTTTTATACAGTGTGTCCAAAAAAATTTATAAACAAGAACGGTTTGAGTATTTTTCAAAAAAATTATTATTTTTGATAAAAAGTTCTACATTACTTGAAAAAACTTAAAAGTTTTCTCATATTTATAAATTTTTATTTGGACACACTGTATTATAGATTGCGACGTGCTCTACGAGCACGTCGTTAACAACAATATCCGAATACTTTGTTGTTATAACGACGTCGCAATCCATTACACAGTGTGTTTCAAAAAGTTTTATACACATGAACAGATTTTTAAAAAATCATATATTTTTGGCTCTACAGACCGAAGTGTTATTAGTGGCTCATACTGTATATATTACTTGAAGTTTGTATTATTTTAAACAATATTTATCATATTTATTTATTTGTATATTTACGGGTAAGCCCATTTAGATTAAAATAGATTGTTATAAAAGACCTTAGTAGATTTTGAATATTATGTCTGACTCTATTTAGGTACAAAAAATCAAATTAATACAATAATATTCAGAGAGTTTGTCAATCTAAGTATTCAAGGAATACAACTGTTAAAAGTACTATCAATTCTATAAAAAGGAATATAAAATACTTGTAATTGTATAGTATTAAAAGTAAGAAAAAAATTATATATTTTTCGAGGATCATATTATCTCCCATTAAAAATATTATTTAGCAACATTAGGTCTCTATGTGTTCTTCGAATTTCCAGATAATCGCTTCATTGTTTGTAATTTAAAGGCCGTGTATTAAGTTACGAGAATTACCGAAAATTGTCGAGGAATTGAGATACAGTTTTACAGGAATTACATTAAAAACTGGAAAATTATAAAAATTAACATAACAAGAAACTGCTGTGGAATTGCGCCAATTATCTAAGAATTATAAAAAACACCAGTAAAATACCTAAATGCCAAGGAATTACAGAAGAATTGTCGAGGAATTACAGAATAATTGTCGAAAAATTACAGAATAATTGCCAATGAATTACAAAAGAATTGTCGAGGAGTTACAGAATAAATGCCGAGGAATTACAGAAGAAGTATCGAGTAATTTTGAGAAATAATTTTAGAGAAATAATTGCGCTAGTAGGTAGAGAATTACGGAACTTCCAAGGAATCTCGAGAATTTCCGGGAAATTACGCGAATTACCGAATAATTACAGATGAATTGTCGAGGAATTACAGAATAACTGCCTAGGAAATACAAAAGAATTGTCGAGGAATTGCAGAAGAATTGTCGGGAAATTACAGAATAATTGCTGAGGAATTACATATAAAAATGCCGATGAATTGCAGAGTAAGTTTGGAAAATGGGAAAATTATTATGGAGCGGTATAGGGATCGTTGAGGGAAATATATCGAAGGCTATAATGTTAAAAATAAAAGCAATAAAACGATTTTATAGCATTACTTCAGTGTTTTTAGTACAAAATCAAATCAAACCACTACAGTGTTAGTTCATACGTCCCATTACCTTTTCGGTATCCTCATCGCCTTCCTCTGCCGCTTCCATCGCCCTCCTCTGGAACTCCCTTTCCAATTGCAACACTCTCAACTGTTCCTCCTGCTGCGGAGTCCTGTAGGGCAGCGAAACGAGCTCCCTGATCTGTTGTTCCTGCCAATGTCTAGCCGCTTCCCGTCTCGCCTCCTGCTGCCGTTCCTGCTCCTCCCTCGCCCAAGGATCTCGCGGGGGTTTCGTCAAAGAGGGACCGGCGCCGGGATAGAATGACATTTTCGGTGGTTCCTGGCTGCTGGCTAAGTAAAGCGGATGGGTGCTGGTTGGGGGTAAATCGGGCAGATGCGGTTCGTCCTGAAATTAATCTTCCTTCGTTCAACATTTCTTTTATAAACCTGATAATCCGGGTTTTGTGCGTCGAATTAGAAGGAGAGGTCCAACAATTCCACCAATGCTCTCCATAATTGTATAAATATATTTCTTCATCGATATTTTTGGGTAAGTAGTAAGGAGGGTAATTTGTTGGATATTGGATAATATAATTTTGATCTTTAGGATACTAACTGAATTATTTGAAAACTGCAACCATTTGTATTCAGATATGAAGAATATTTGATAAAGTATCCTAATCAGAAGTACTTAAAAATAATTTCAATTATACAGGCTTCTCCTAAAGCGAGGGTATGTCAAATATAAAATAAAATACAGGATATCCCATTTAAAAAAATCTAACTTTAATGTGTATCGCTTTCTTAGAAAACCCTGTATAATTGAAATTATGTTACTGTAAAATATAGGTGGTATCCGTGAAAAATAGAAATAAGAGATTTTTGAAGTTTGTAATACAAGAAGATATTATTAATACTCGAATGGGTTAAAACTTGAAACTTTTCTCACGTGTATACAATTTTCTAGAACACACTGTGTAATGATTGCGACGTGCTCTTCGAGCAGAAGAAATTTAAAACTTTTATCATGTATGTATATACTTTTTTTTGACACACTGTACAATAGATTACAGCAATATCTATAAACTTTGCTCGAAGAGCACGTCGCAATCCATGGAGAATATTTAATAAAGCATCCCGACCAGAAGTACTTAAATTGATAATAACAAGATTTGTTGCTGATTTATTGAGCTGATCTAAGGTTATATTAAAGAGGAAGTGAAAACTAATCAGATAAGCAAAAATTATTAAAATATCTGTAGTAGTGATTAACAACAGAGTAAATCATTCACTAGAGAAAGAATATTCACTTAACAAGTAATTTTCTTGTGAATTACAGAACTAAAAACAATATCACCTCAAACAAATCGTTCCTGTATGGAATTTAGCAACTGCTTTTTGTTTTTTTATGATGGTTACTCAATTAATTTAAATAAAAATAAGATATAAAGTAGAACCAGAAATACTGTAAGGTCATAAATCAATATTAGCTGACGAACCTCATTATTACATATTGTTCGAAATGTAAATAAGTAAAAATATTGTGTGTCTCTTAAAAGATTCACAAGTCCGGATTAAAATATCTTATGAAATAGTATATTGTAAAGTATATTTTAAAGTATACTGTAAAGTATATTGTAAATTGTAGAGTATGTTATAAAGTATAAAGTATACTATAACGTATACTGTAAAGAATATTGTGAAGAAAAGTATACTCTAACGTATACTATAAAATATACTGTAAAGTAAACCGTATTATATAGTAAAGTATATTGTAAAGTAAATTGTAGAGTATATTAAAGTATAAAGTTTACTGTAACATATACTGTAACGTATATTGTAACGTATACTGTAAAGAATATTGTGAGGTAAAGTATACTGTAACGTATACTATAAGTATACTGTAAAATATATTGTGAAATATATTATAAAGTATATTGTAAAGTATATTGTAAAGTATATTGTAAAGTAAAGTATATTGTAAAGTAAAGTATATTGTAAAGTAAAGTATATTGTAAAGTAAAGTATATTGTAAAGTAAACTGTAGTATATAGTAAAATATATTGTAAAGTATAAAGTATATTGTAAAGTAAACTACACTATATAGTAAAGTATATTGTAAGGTAAATTGTAGAGTATATTGTAAAGTATATTGTAAAGTATGCTATAAAGTTAACTTTAGTATATAGTAAAGTAAATTGTAGAGTATATTGTAAAGTATACTGTAAAGTATATTGTGAAGTAAAGTATACTGGAGAAAGTTAAATAAATAATGGAAAATTAAGAATATCTAGGTACATGTTTTTAGAATTGATCGCTAGAGTAGATACGTCTTTGCATAGAGGCGACCGTATACTCTTAACTCAACTGGTTAGTGTTTTATGACCTTACAATATTTTTGGTTCAATTTTACCAAAGTTGATCCATATATTATTCCGTTTCAGTAATCAAATTAAATGACATTGGACGCTATTTTATTTATGACTGACTGAATGCTTACTTCGAACGTTACCTCTACTTAATGTTGGAATTTTTTGGACCCCGATTTTAGTGCAGAAGCCAATCAACACGTTAATTTTAAAGACACACTTTGATTTCGAAAACGTAGTTACTTATTAGGATGAAAACCGTGCATCGTGCATCTTGAAATTGTTGTACCTACATTTTATTATTTAATACAAATACTGTAGAACAAAAGAGTTTCTTTCTTTTGTAAAAATTTAACAGGTAAAAATTACATTTTGGCTAAATTACCAGGAGATATCACCTATCTCAGAAAAGCACTAATAGTCCACCGAAATTAGGTTTTTAATGAGAAATTTTGGGTACAACATAAGCCCATTTAACAATGACTTCTTTTTATAAAATTTCACTATGCACAAAGATAAGAATGATCAGAAGAAGGTATTACATATATACATTTTTTGGCGTTTTCGACTGTTTTTTGTATTTTACTCAAAAACGATGCGTTTCCATAAAAAAATGTACTGGACCTTTTTTGAAGGACAACCGATTTTCTATCGATTATGTATTAATACTTTTTTTGACAAACTTCATATTTTTGCCGCTAGAGCGTTCCAAAAGAAATAAATGTTTATATTTTGTAGTTTTTCGCTTTTTATATGAAAACCACGCGCTTTGGCTGAAAATTTCATTAGAGCAAGTTTGTAGAGCGGAAGAATTCCTATCGAATTCATGAAACGGATTTTTCGAAAAGCCAGCATTTGCGCCGCTAGAGTACTAGCGCGGAAAATGAGAGACGTTTTTTACACTTATTTTCTTATATTCTTTCTCTAAATTCAAACAATACCGCCCTTCTTTATTCAAGCGAACAGGTTTGACAAAAATTGAAAGATCATTTATTGAAAAATTGCCAAGGAATTGTTCGGTAGTTGCATAAATTGCTGAGAAATTTCTGAGGAATTACGAGAATTGCAGGAATTATATAAACTGCTGATAAATTACAGAAGAATTGCGAAGAAATTTGAGAGATAATATTAAAGGGATTGCGCTAGTGGGCTCTTCGAGCACGTCGCAAACTATTATACAGTGTGTTCAAAAAAATGTATAAACAAGAAAAGTTTAAGTATTTATCAAAAAAATTATTCTTTATAAAAAGTTCTACAATACTTGAAAAAAACTTAAAATTATAATTATTATAATCACTATATGAATGCGACAATATCTGAATACACTTTGTTGTTAACAAGGTGCTCATAGAGCACGTCGCAATCTATTATACAGTGTTTCCAAAAAAATGTATACAGATGAGAAAACTTTTAAGTTTTTTTGAATGATGTAGAACCTTTTATCAAGAATAAGTATTTTTTGGAAAAAACTTAAATTTTTCTTGTTTATACATTTTTTGATCACACTGTATAATAGATTGCGACGTATTCTTCGAGAATTGCCGGAAAATTACGCAAATTGTCGGATAATTACGCAAATTGTCGGATAATTACGCAAATTGTCGGATAATTACGTGAATTGCCGAGGATAGAATCATTTTCGAGTAATTAAGAGATCGTTTTAAACGAATTGCGGGAATTCCCGAAGAATTACGGAAATTGTTAAGGAGTTGCGTGAATTGCCAAGAAATTTATGAAGAATTGCAGGTGAATTATGCGAGCTGCTGATGAATTACAGAAGAATTGGGAAGAAATTTAAAGATGATATTAAAAAAATTGCGTATGAAATTACTTGCACAAATTTAGGCAGGCCAGCTTTTAAAATGACCTTAAGCACTTATAGTATTTTAGCACAAATAAAAAAGCACTATTTACTAATATTTTTCTTATTAAAAATGTCAAAATAAAGACGACTTTAAGAGAAAACCAGAGCTCTCGTGAAAGCAAGAATTTTCTAATACAAAATTGTAATTACATTAGGTAAAATATACTAACTTATATTTTTATATTCTTTCTCTAAATTTAAACAATACCGCTTTTCTCTAACCAAGTTAGTTTTGACAAAAATTGAAAGATAATTTATTAAAAAAAAACACATTCACTTTCCGCGCATGCGCTGTTGCGGCAGAAACGATGCGTTTCTGAAAAAAAAAATCTGTTTCGTAGGTTTGTTAGGAAATTTTCTATTCTACAATTTTGCTCTGAAGAAATTTTCATCTAAAGTGCGTGGTTTTTATGTAAAATGTAAAAAACCGCAAATTATATAGATTTGTTTCTTTTGGCGCGCTCTAGTGGCAAAAATATGAAGTTTGACAAACATAATCGATAGAAAATCGTTATTTCTTCAAAAGAAGTCCAGTAAAATTTTTGATAAAAACGCATCGTTTTTGGGTAAAATACAAAAAACTGGGAAAAACGCCGAAAAATGTATATATCTATATATAATACTTTCTTCCTACCATTATCATTTCTGGGTATAGGGAAATTTTGTCAAAAAAAGTCAAAAGCTTTATTTTTATCTAAGTCTCGATGATGTACTAAAAAATTTCGTTTTAGGCTATTTTTTTGTCTAATACCGGTGAATTATAAAGAGTAACGGTCTTGTAATTTAAGACTATCAAAAATGGGAGTTGATACAACTTAACATTACGTAATTTTTTGGCTTCATAACCGTTGTGCTACTTTTATAGTAATTTTGTAATTTCCATTAAAGCAACCATTTATTATTGCGCTGCGCATATCACAAATGAAGATCAGCAATAACCTCCCAGTGGTTAGATGCTAATGAGTCTTATAGTCGGTCTTTTCACCTTCAAATAAAGAATCAAGTAATTTTTATCTCCCAGATAACTTAAAAAGTAATCTTTTCACTTTTGGATATAACTAACCAGCAGATAAATTGGTCTAATCTAAAAGATAACTTGTTTTTACCTTAGAACTTCTTGATAAAGTATTTAACAGATAGATAAATAGGTATATGACATTATGTGACATGATTTAACAAATGAAGGTTTAAAATTAATTAATTATCTGTCAGATAATAACTCTCACAAAACATATCCAGTGGCTAGATGATAATGGGTCTTAGGGTCGGTGTTTTCACCTTCAAATAAAGTATCAAGTAATTTTTATCTCTCAGATAATTTAAAAAGTAATCTTTTCACTTTTGAATATAACTAACCGGCAGATTTATTGGTCTAATCTGAAAGATAACTTGTATTTACCTCTGAACTTCCTGATAAAGTATTTAACAGATGGATAATTAGGTATATGACATTATATGACCACAGAACGTTTAAAAGTACCAGACAACTATCTTACAGATTATTTATCTTGAAAAGACTTAATTATCTGTCAGATAGTAACTCTCACATAACATATCTGTTAGTTATCTTTATCTGAAGGTGACAAGATTGGTCTGAGCTAACGAGGGATAATGAAACCATTAGATAGCAATGAGAGTATTAATATTAACAAAACTCTCGTGCTCCATATCACCTCATGTGGTATCAACAAGAATGTAAAGAGATGTACTGGAAAATATTTGTAACTAAGTTGGTATTTGAATATTTTTTCCAAACAAATTTCAAAATGCACGAATATCTATTTTTTGGCGAAATAAATTAGCAAAGTATAACCGTCCCAAAAAAAGATCAAAACCGAAACATAATTAATATGATTTCAAAGAACTAATTCAAAATAACGATCTAGTTTAAACTATTAGGGTGGGTTGAACAATAATCAATTAAAATGCAATATTGGTTTAAACCATAGGTTATTCTTAAACATAGTTTTAAAATTGACATTTGTACTTTCAATATAAAAATTAAACTGAGTTACTGCATTTGTTGTACAACCCACCTGTTGAATTACATTCAACAATACTGATTCTCAGACAATATTAATTCAACCGTCCCTGTAACTATTTCAGCCGGTAAGGAAGTTATCTAACAGATAAATACATCAAGCACGTCAGGCACTCCTCAATGGTTAAAGTGTACTACGTCAGAGCCTCAAGCTTGTCCGGTCTTTCTTCGTTCTACAGTCGAGGGCACAACACTATGCCCTTCCAATTTCAACTTTAACTCCACCTTATGGCACTTTATTTCATCGTCCTTGGCCTGTCCTGTATGTTACATTCTTTACCACCTCTTATATTTTTTCCTCAAAGAAAGACATTAATTTGCTCCTCAGCGCAAGAAATTTAATTTCTTATAGAGGATATATCAGAGGAGACTTTCTTCATAGAAGACATTTCAAAAGATTGTCTCAGGAAGAAATGTAAGAAGATAATTTGGTTACTAAGAAAGAAACTTTATTTTTTATAGAGGAAACATGAGAAGAAATATCGGTTTTCACAGAGGTCATATCAAAAGACATTTCGGTTATTAAGAAAGAGATCTTGCTTCATTTACTAGATTTGTGTGTTCATTCTCTTAAGTTTTAATACATTTTTGATGAAATTCTTTCTAAATTTGTTTGGACACACTGTATATTATATTGCGACGTGCTCTTCGTACACTTTGTTAACAACAAAGTATATTTAGATATTGTTGTTAACGACGTGCTCGAAGAGCACGTCGCAATCTATTAAACAGTGGGTCTCAAAAAAATTTACATACATGAGAAAAGTTTTGTTTATTCAAGTGATGTAGATTTTTTTGAAAAAAACAAAATTTTTTCTCATGTGTACAAAACATTTTAAAACACACTGTGTAATGGATTGCGACGTGCTCGAAGAGCACGTCGCAATCTATTATACAGTGTGTCTCAAAAATTTTTATACACATGAGAAAACTTGTTTTTTTTTCAAGCGATGTGGAACTTTTTGGAACACACTGTGTAATGAATTGTGCGTTATTAACAATAAAGTATATTCAGATATTATTGTTAACGACGTACTCTTTGAGCAAGTTTCAATTTACTATACGATGTGTCTCAAAAAAGTTTATACATATAAAAATGTTTTTTTTTTCAAATAATGCAGAACTTTTTGTGAATAATTTAAAACAAAAACTTTCTCATGTGTATAAGGTGCATTTGGGTACATTGACGTGGCGCGTAGCAGAAAGTGAAAAAGCGTGGTAATTACGCCTAAAACGTGGCGTCTGGCAACCCTACTTATGCATAACACCTTCATCCCTTCTAAATTTAATTTCTTATAGAGGATATATCAGAGGATATTTTCTTCATGGAGGACATTTCAGAAGACTATCTAAGGAAGAAATGTCGGAAGATACTTTAGTTACTAAGAAAGAAACTTTATTTTCTAAAGAGGAAATATCGGTTTTCATAGAGGTCATATCAAAAGACATTTCGGTTATTGAGAAAGATATCTTACTTCTCATATCGGAAGAAATTAAAAAATTTATAGCAGAAGATGCATCATCAAAAAACAGATACGTTTTCGAATCCAAACCAGTCATAATTTATTTAAGAATTCATTTTTATTTGACAACTTTTATTAAAACTTGGATTAAACGGCAGAAGAATTCACTTATATAGAAAATGTAAGTTTAGAAAAAAAAAAAAAACAATCCTGGCTAGAAAAATATCGATGCGTTCACGAAATCCTTCCTCCACGAGTCAGGCTGCGTAAAGGAACATTCTAGTTGAAACTCGATAGCCAACGTCAGACGTAACGGCAGCGGTAAAAGTAGACAAAGTACAATAGTACATACCGTGTTTTTTATTTTTTGTTTTGTTTTTTCTTTGTTTTTCTTTGTTTTTCTTTGTTTTTCTTTGTTTTTCTTTGTTTTTCTTTGTTTTTCTTTGTTTTTCTTTGTTTTTCTTTGTTTTTCTTTGTTTTTCTTTGTTTTTCTTTGTTTTTCTTTGTTTTTCTTTGTTTTTCTTTGTTTTTCTTTGTTTTTCTTTGTTTTTCTTTGTTTTTCTTTGTTTTTCTTTGTTTTTCTTTGTTTTTCTTTGTTTTTCTTTGTTTTTCTTTGTTTTTCTTTGTTTTTCTTTGTTTTTCTTTGTTTTTCTTTGTTTTTCTTTGTTTTTCTTTGTTTTTCTTTGTTTTTCTTTGTTTTTCTTTGTTTTTCTTTGTTTTTCTTTGTTTTTCTTTGTTTTTCTTTGTTTTTCTTTGTTTTTCTTTGTTTTTCTTTGTTTTTCTTTGTTTTTCTTTGTTTTTCTTTGTTTTTCTTTGTTTTTCTTTGTTTTTCTTTTTCTTTGTTTTTCTTTGTTTTTCTTTGTTTTTCTTTGTTTTTCTTTGTTTTTCTTTGTTTTTCTTTGTTTTTCTTTGTTTTTCTTTGTTTTTCTTTGTTTTTCTTTGTTTTTCTTTGTTTTTCTTTGTTTTTCTTTGTTTTTCTTTGTTTTTCTTTGTTTTTCTTTGTTTTTCTTTGTTTTTCTTTGTTTTTCTTTGTTTTTCTTTGTTTTTCTTTGTTTTTCTTTGTTTTTCTTTGTTTTTCTTTGTTTTTCTTTGTTTTTCTTTGTTTTTCTTTGTTTTTCTTTGTTTTTCTTTGTTTTTCTTTGTTTTTCTTTGTTTTTCTTTGTTTTTCTTTGCGTTTCTTTATTTTTCTTTGTTTTTCTTTATTTTTCTTTATTTTTCTTTGTTTTTCTTTGTTTTTCTTTGTTTTTCTTTGTTTTTCTTTGTTTTTCTTTGTTTTTCTTTGTTTTTCTTTGTTTTTCTTTGTATTTCTTTGTTTTTCTTTGTTTTTCTTTGTTTTTCTTTGTTTTTCTTTGTTTTTCTTTGTTTTTCTTTGTTTTTCTTTGTTTTTCTTTGTTTTTCTTTGTTTTTCTTTGTTTTTCTTTGTTTTTCTTTGTTTTTCTTTGTTTTTCTTTGTTTTTCTTTGTTTTTCTTTGTTTTTCTTTGTTTTTCTTTGTTTTTCTTTGTTTGTCTTTGTTTTTCTTTGTTTTTCTTTGTTTTTCTTTGTTTTTCTTTGTTTTTCTTTGTTTTTCTTTGTTTTTCTTTGTTTTTCTTTGTTTTTCTTTGTTTTTCTTTGTTTTTCTTTGTTTTTCTTTGTTTTTCTTTGTTTTTCTTTGTTTTTCTTTGTTTTTCTTTGTTTTTCTTTGTTTTTCTTTGTTTTTCTTTGTTTTTCTTTGTTTTTCTTTGTTTTTCTTTGTTTTTCTTTGTTTTTCTTTGTTTTTCTTTGTTTTTCTTTGGTTTTCTTGGTCTTTTGTTTTTTTTTATAACTACTCTAATGAAAATTAAAAAAAATAAAGGTGCAACAAGTTTAATTAAACTAGTTCGTTTAAAATTTTAGAATTAGCTGCTTTTGTAACTAGTTCCTTTCGGATTTTGGAACTAGATCTTTTGATTACCCCAATTAACCAAGTCTTATCATTAGTTCGTTCCCAAATGACACAAACAGTATTTTTCGGTACTTTTCTCTTTTCAAGACAGTTATAAACCTAAATTTATCATTATAGCTATTAAATGTTTATCTAATCTACTATAAAAACCTTGTACGAAATTTACGACACGTACCAATCGATCTCGTTGGTCAAGGATAATCAGTCAGATCAACCACTGTAAAATTGAATAATTCATCTCTAAAGGCTTCAATAAAAATCCTACAAAATATTATTTCAAAACTTACTTTTCGTGCCGGTTTCGGCGCCACTGGCGGTATCTTGTTATAGCTGGGAGACAAAGGCGTTTGTGGCCCGTAACCCGCGTGCTGCTGACCATACTGAGGACTAATATTCATATTTTGCATGCTTTGGGCATTTTGCGACATAATCTGATTGTAGTACTGCTGCTGTTGGAGTTGTTGCTGCTGAAGCTGCTGTTGTTGCTGTTGCTGCTGAAGCTGCTGTTGTTGCTGTTGCTGCTGTTGTTGGTAGTAAGCGTTCTGTTGGGGTTGTTGTCCGAACTGTTGGACGCGATTTTGACGCCTTCGCACCTCTTCCGACATTTCGGCTATTTTCGCAGCGCCCCTCAACTGTCTATCTTCGTTGCTAAGCCGATGATGAGGCGGATGCTCGGAATTCTGCCTCAGCTGGGGCAGATCCAGGGGCTTGCCGTCGCGGATGTTGCCGCTACTCGCGTACCTTAAAAACGAAATTTTACGATTTATTAGTTGCTCTCTATTAGTCAGATCCGAGTTTAAAAATCGAAAAGTTCGATTGAAGAATTTTTCAAAATTACAAAAACCTCCATAGAATTAATTCTTTCCACCATTAAAATAGTTAACGCACTTAAAGAATTTCTCAAGGCACGTAATAAATCTACCACCTTTTTTTATCCACCCAAATTCTTTCCCACCGGAGTTACGACAAATTTTCGTCACAAGAACTCTTTAAAACTGGTATAAATACCCAACCACATGGAACGAAAGTTTCAATATTATTTTAAATCCAGCCTAATGCAGTTGGTTTTCAAATTTAGTTATATTTCAAGTTTAGTATTCAGTACCTTTCCTAAACCGACGCGAAGCCTTTCATACCCTACATCCTATCGACGCTCCTACGTCGCGACGTTCTACATCCCAATGATCTATTTTCCGAACGTTTCAACATCCCACCGTCATACTTCCCTACCTTTCTACCTCCCGACAATCAACATATCTCCGTCCTTCCGTCCTACTTCCCGATGCTTTTGCCAACGCTGTGACGTACCCAAAATCGACGTCGTCACATCGCTAGATAAAATTAGTACATTATGTCTAGTTTAGACGAACGTAATGTCAGTGCATTAATTTTTGATGTCTTTAATTATTTTAAGTGAGACAGGTGTCAACGTCCTTTTAAATATTCTTATAAAGATGACAGGACTGGATAAGCAAATCCTTCATTTTCTGTTTTTTTACTTTTTCCTCAAAATTTTGACTTTCTTTATTCAAAACTTTGATTTTTTTTTTCAAAATTATGACTATTTTTAAAAAAAAATATGTTTTTTGAAGCCCTGATACAGTCTCATAAAAATTAACCTTATAGGGAATTTTTTATAGTATCATCTCCTGTTTTTTTGACTTTTTTTAACTTTTGATTTTTTTTAGAATAAAATTATTTTTTGTGGCACTAATACACCATATCGAAAACCCAAAAATTGGCAGCTATCCGCAAACTAGAACAAATTCAAAGAACAACATGTCCTGGCACTACAGCAAACAAATACTTGACTATGACTAAACAGAATCTGGACCTGATCACAGGCCTTCTAACTGGGCATTGCCAACTACGGATCTCCATATCATAGGGCTGTCAAAATCCGCATCTTGCAGAGGGGTACAAAAAAGAAGATAAGACCTTCGAGAATATCCTCTATGATTGCCCGACGCTCTCAATTATTAAAACATTTGTGTTCAGCGAGAATTGGCTAACACTGGCCAATATAAGAGAAGCACCTCTTGACGACTTTGTCAACTACATTAAATCTGTAAGCTGGCTCATGGGCCTATCTACTTACGAGGATGCACAATGAGTTTAGCGAGGCCTAAGTGCCGTGGGTTAAGCCACTCATCTCTACACATTACAGCTACAGATACGCCGTCGTAAACATTAACCTGTTTAGGGAATCGTTACTAGTCTATTTTTCTGTTTTTGTTTTTACTTTAATTTTGACATTTTTTTCTCAAAATTAAGACTTTTTTTCTCACAATTATGAATTTTTTAAAATAAAATAATTTTTTGTGGTACTAATATACCGTCGTAAAAATAAACCTGTTTAGGTAATTTTTAATAGTATCATTTTGTTTTTGACTTTTTTTTCAAAATTTTTACATTTTTTTCTCAAAATTTTGACTTTATTTTTTCAAAATTTTGACTTTATTTTTTCAAAATTTTGACTTTTTTCTTAAAATTTTTACATTTTTTTCAAGATTTTGACTCTTTTAAAATAAAATTATTTTTTTGTGGTACTAATATGCTGTCATAAAAATTAACCTGTTTCTGACTTTTTCTCAAAATTTTGACTCTTCTCAGAATTTTGACTCTTTTCTCAGAATTTTCACTCTTTTCTCAGAATTTTGACTCTTTTCTCAAAATGTTGACTTTTTTTTATCAAAATTTTGATATTTCTTCTCAAAATTATGACTTTTAAAAATAAAATTATTTAATGTAATTTTATGTTTTTGACTTTTTTCTCAAAATTTTGACATTTTTCTCAAATTTTTAACTTTATTTTTTAAAAATTTTGACTTTTTTCTTAAAATTTTTACATTTTTTTCAAAATTTTGACAATTTTATTCTAAATTATGACTTTTTTAAAATAAAATTATAATTTTTTTATTCAAAATTATGACTTTTAAAATAAAATTATGTTTTGTGACACTAATACACCTTCGTAAAAATTAACCGGTTTAGTTAATTTTTAATAGTATCATTTTCTGTTTTTGACTTATTTTTCCATATTTTGACATTTTCCTTAAAATTTTGACTTTCTTTTTTCAACATTTGGCCTTTATTATCAAATTTTTACATTTTTTCTCAAAATTTTGATTCTTCTCAGAATTTGGACTCTTTTTCCAAAATGTAGAATTTTTTAATCATTATTTCTCAAAATTTTTGATAGTATAAAAATTTGGATTTTTCTTAAAATTATTACTTTCTTTTTTTAAAATGTACTTTTTTTTTTTCAAAATTTTGACATTTTTTTATCAAAATATTGACTTTCTGTTCCTAAAATTTTGACTTTTTTCTAAAAAATTTGACATTTTTATTCAAAATTATGACTTTTTAAAATAAAATTATAATTTTTTTTTCAAAATTAGAATTTTTTAAAATAAACTTATTTTTTGGGGCACTAATACACCGTCGTAAAAATAAACCTGTTTAGTTAATTTTTAATAGTATCATTTTCTGTTTTTGACTTTTTTCAAAATTTTGACATTTTTTTCTCAAAATTTTGACTATCAAAATTTTACATTTTTTCTTAAAATTTTGGCATTTTTTAAAATAATAACTTTTTATAATAAAATTATTTTTTTGTCGTAAAAATTAACCTATTTTTCTTGACTTTGTTCTCAAAATTTTGATTCTTCTCAGAATTTTGACTCTTTTCTTAAAATTTACTTTTTTTTATCAAAATTTTGACATTTTTTTTTTTTAATTATAACTAAAATAAAATTATTTTTTGTGGCACTAATATATCATCGTAAAAATTAACCTGTTTAGGTAATTTTTAATAGTATCATTTTGTTTTTTTACTTTTTCTCAAAATTTTGTTATTTTTTCTCAAAATATTGACTTTTTTTCTTAAAATTTTGACTTTTTTTTTCTAAAAAAATTAATTGTTTCTTCAAAATTTTGACTTTTATTCTCAAAATATTGACTTTTATTCTCAAAATATTGACTTATATAATAAAATAATTTTTTTGTGTCACTAAACGGCAATACCCAGGATAACAGACCCTTTCTTCATGGAGCCAGACAGTATCAGTTTCACGACCATCCTAACAAATTTAGTGAATTTTTAATCGTGTTTAATTTCCTCAAGGTTCTTACAACTATACACCATCAGGAAATTATTAAAATTCTAGTAAAAATAATCAATTTTAAGGAAACCTAAGTATTGTTAAAGTCAGCGAATTAGAAGCTAACGGCACTACAACACGCTCGTCCGCTGCATCCTAGAGGGAGCGAGGATACTTGAATTTTGATCGGGCGGACGCAAGCAAGTAAGCATTTATGCCCGTTAAAGACATTGTTTACGAGATATTTAATAAAACATTATAAAACCATGTTAAAACTTGTTTTGTGTAGTGACTATACAGAATATTATAGTATACAGGGTGATAAAACATTTAAAAACAATAATTTCAAACATGATGGCCGTCTGTCGCCCTGAACATTCTCCGTAGACTAGTCCAAGAAATCAATAAAAAAAAGGTATTAAATACACTGCAAATATTGAACAACAGCATCAAATAGGTGGAAAAATTTCATTTAACAGAATACACAAGACAGAAGAAGAAAACAAGTTTACCTTGTAATATCAGACTGATGTTGTTGCTGTAAAGCGTGTTGCTTGATTAGATCTTCGCTTTTAGAAGCACGCATCTCGTTGTACCGAGATATATCGCTGTTTTGAACGCCCTCTGCGACGCGAATATTGCCTTGACTTGGATATCTGGAAAAAAAGAGATCAGAACAGGAACTATTAATCTAACAATATCTTACTCACCTCATAATTTCATCATGTCTGGAAGTCTGGGACTGTCTGAATACATCCTCTCTAAGTAAACCTCCTCCATTGTTATATCTCACTTCCTGTACCCTCTCCTCTTGCCTTACACCAGCATTGACGTGTAGTGGTTGTTGAACATTGTTGGGATACCCTTGGACAGAACCGTGTGTCGGGCTAGGATACGATTGATTCTGACCAGGGAACGTGTTGCCGTAAGGGACCTTACTACCTTCTTCTGGACTTGGATAGCTGTTCTGTTTATGGCTGAATGCGTGATAGTTTTGACCGTACTGAACGTTGGGATGCGATCCGTTCCGATTGGGATCTTCGTTTTGAAGTCTGTACATAGTTTGCGGGTTTTTCAGATTGGGTATCGATTGATGAAGGTTACTAGGCCGGGAGGTTATAGTGGATGGCGGGGGATAGTAGGCGGACGAAGGACGTTGGGAGTTAGCTATCGAGGAGTGGAGGGAATTTTGAGAGCTTCGTAGCGCCGAAGTTCTAAAAAAAAAACAATGTTAAATCATTCTATAGTTAATCGGAGAAGTAAATACTTACCTATCGCCCAACTGCTGCGGACTGGGAATCTTATTCCTGTAAATACTCAAATTCTGATAGAAACCGCCGTCTTGTTGATGTAAATTGTGCGTGGATCGACTCCTTAAAGCTTGGTTGACTCCGACCGGTCCTCCGTTCATCATCGCTTGGCCGTTGTTGTTGAGGTGATTGTTGATGCTGTTGTTAGAAGAAGTTCGACTGTAGATGTCGCCAACGGCGGCGGGATTCGGTCTAGTCGGCTGTTGGTCGACGGCGCCTGGGGAGTGGATTTGGTGGAGGGCGGGAACAGATTTGGAAGAGGGGATAGAACGTTCTGAATCTACTCTAGACGGCAGATCGCGTTCCGACATCCGTCTCGGTCCTATTAAAATTATTTATATTGAAAAAAATAGTAACGTTAATTTGGATTTGCGGTTCAGATAAAATTTTCCAGAGATACTATAGATAGACAAAAAAATCTGGAAATATTTCTCTTGAAACCCGTAAAATAAAAAAAGTATACAAAAGCTTGAATAAAATTATAAAAAGCAATATGTAAGGCGTTCTTTCAAATAATTTTTAATTAAAAACCTAAATAGCAACCAATTAAAAATAAATAAATAAACATAATAAAGCAACAAATATTATTTTAAAAATATTTCAATTTCTTGAGGCCTAGAATAATGTTTTTATCATCTTCTTAAACAAGAAGAATAGAATCATAAAGAAACTAACAATTCTAGATTGAATAAAGAAATTTTGTTATAATTTTGTATAATTTACAAAAGATAAAGTAATTTATAGTTATTTACGCAACAAGTGCAAAAAGTAAGTGTTATTGCACGCGACGTGAAATTGTCGAGTGTAATAAACCCTTTTTGCACGAGTTGCATACAATATTTTTTCTACGTTCATGCAAAAACCAAAAAATGTTTTATAAAACTACAGTTGTGTTATCCAAATCATACTAACCGTGATCGTGTACCTTTGTTTGAGGCATTTATTTACGTTTGTGTTCATAATTTGTAATGACATTTTTAATAAAATACATTTTTTTATTAATTTATTAAATGATTGAAAATAATATAAATATGCAATTGTTTTTAAAACGTAACACAGAAAATGAAAATGGACTAAATATTTGGCGTTGATTTGAATATTTATGTTTGTCATGATCATAAAACGCTGTAGTAAAATGACAGATGAGTGCAAAAAATTTTTTATTGCACTAGTGCAATAAAGAACCAGTTTGTGCACTAAATATAGTTCAATAAAGTTTTGTTTTTTGCATGAACGTAGAAAAAATCAATTTAAAATGCGTAAAAAGTTATTATTTATAAAGAAATCAAACTCTTTTTCTTATAGTATATTTGACGTTAACTTGTTTTAGTAGTAAAGGAATCCTGTAATTTTTTTGAAACTATAGTAAAACTGAAAACCAAACTAATAAAATAGTTCCAAACGGGATTTAATGAAAACGAACAAGGGGATCCAGAATTTAACAAGGCTGTTACAAAAGATGGTTAGAGATTATGTGATTGTATCATATTATGATGACAGACGATAAAGTGGAATAATAAAATTTACTGCTGGTCAAGAATACGAAGTCAATGTAATCGAGTAATCATCGAATAATAAGTGGAACTGGTCAAGCCATTAAGAAGTGTGTGAACCACTATCTATTTATTTATGTAGCATTTACAGAATGTAAAATTCCAAATAGTACAATATATCTAACCTAACACAAACAATTGTAAAAATAATATAAAATAAATTAAAAAATATATATAAAATAAATTAAAAAATATATATAAAATAAAAAAAAGGAAGAATAACACAACACCGCAGGACGATACTAGTAAAACTTATATATTCAGGAGTTGCAAGCCCGTTTTCAGCGCCAAAATATAACAATGAAATACAGGGTGTCTGTAAAAGGTCTTCACAAAAACATACCACATATTCCTTAGACCAAAATAAGTCGATTTAAGTAAAATTACCTTAGTACAAAGTTGCTTCGTTTGGGCTCCAGAGGGCCTTGAAGTTAAAATTTTTAAATCGTTTTTACCATATAAATTTAAAACGGCATATGCGATTTTGATGAAATTTGGTATATTGGTAGAGTTTTATGTGGCAAAAAAATGGTATTAAAATTTTGTCCGATAATAATACATAGGCGTAGAACTTGATTTTTTAAATAATTGCACCTTTAAAAATTCTACGCCAATGGAAGAAAAGGAGTTTGAGTATGAAATTTAGATTGCGCAACTCATTTACTTTAAAAAAGGTACTCTTGATAAGACTCGATTACTCTCATGGTTTTGACGAAATTTGCATTTTAGTAATTTTAGAACATAAACAATAATTATTAAAATACAAACTTTGTCAAAACCATGAGAGTAAATCGAGTGTTATCAAGGGTACTTTTTTGTAGTAAATGAGTACCCAATCCAAATTTCATACTCAAACCCCTTTTCTGCCATTGGCGTAGAATTTTTAAAGGTACAATTATTTAAAAAATCAAGTTCTACACCTATGTATTATTATCGGACAAAATTTTATACGATGAAAAACATAAAAATGTACTTTTTTCATATCTTCTTCAACACCTCTAATCGAGACTTTTAACAAAAATACTCGATTCTTGAAATGTACGATTTTTTGAGGAATATTAATTATTTTCCTGCAATACATATACAAAAACATTTATTGTTAGTTTCCATAGTTTAATCTAAATAAACATATTGTCAAGTTTTAACACCTAATCTCTTGTTAACGATTGAAAGTGTTCTATCTGACTCAATAATTAAAAAAACAAATGCGTGGTTTATTAATATGGCTGTACAATATACCAATGCAGAAAATACCGATATGTTACTGACATTAGGATTTTGTGAAGGAAATGCTCGAGAGAGTGTCAGGGTGTACTCTGAAAGGTTTCCAAATCGTCGTGTACCTAGCCACCCAACTTTTGCTGCTGTTGAGAGACGTCTTCGGGAGACCGGTTCCTTTGCTCCCAACACTGTTGATAATGGAAGAGAACGTTTTGTAAGGATTCCTGAGGTTGAAGAAGACATTTTAGAACGTGTTGAAGAAGATCCAGAATTAAGCACCAGACGAATTGGAAGGGAACTAGGAGTAAGTAAAGATGTCGTTCATAAAGTGCTTATGTTATGTTATGTTGATAATGGGGTGTTAATACACTGCGACCTAAAAGATCTATTGTGCCCCCTTCTGTCGCCACTGCACTAAGGAAATGTCTCAATGCCTATAGCGACCCTTCCAATCCTATTTTCTCAAGGAAGTGTAGGATTTGAAGTGGCTTCAAGTTAGGTAAGTCTCCCTCTTCTATTTGATATCCTCCTAGATATAGTGCCCTTGGATTCTGGAGTGCTACACATTCAGTTAGGATGTGAATGGAGGTTTCGTCCTCCTCCTCACAGAATCTGCACTCACTATCCTCTAATACTCTCAGTTTACTTAGGTGTCCTTTTAGTCGGCAGTGCCCGGTAAGGATCCCTGTTACAATACGTAGCCTGTTCTTGCTCAGGCAGATGCAGGATTCCGATCTTTTTTGGTTATATTCACCCAGAAGTATCTTGGCCTGTCTCAGCCCCAAGAGATTGTTCCAATTATCGGTTCTTCTACTACCCAATTCTTTTTTAATCTCTTCTAATATTATGTTACTGTTGATACCGCAGAACGGCTCAGGTCCTACAAAGGGTGTTTGAGTCCCTTTCCTTGCAAGACTATCTGCAATCTCGTTATCCTGTACCTCGTTATGTCCCGGGACCCAAGTGAGAGTAACTCTATTTTTCTCGCCTAGCTCATTCAATTGTTCTAGGCATCTCCATACCATTTTTGAGCTGATTACGAAAGAACTCAGCGCTTTGATGGCTGCTTGACTATCGGACATGATGATAATCGCTTGTCTATGATAGTTTCTCTCGATGTTAAACTGGATACACTTCTCGATGGCGTGAATTTCCGCCTGGAAGATGCTTGGGTATTTTCCCAAGCTTTCGGAGTGCTTGGTTCTCGGCCCATACACTCCTATTCCAGTTCCTTCTATGGTTTTGGAACCGTCCGTGTACCACTGAATAGCACGTCTTTCGGTTGCAAGCGCGATGGATTCTTGGCTCCATTCTTTCTTGCAGCCCAGCTCTGTGGTTTTGAAGTTTTTTCACAAAACTGTACTTTCATAAAGTGCTTAGAGAACAATTGCTATATCCATACCATAAGAAGCCAGTACAAGAATTATTAGTCCATGATTCTCAAATTCGTTTGGGTTTTTGTCGATTTGTTAATATGCAAAGAGAAAGAGATCCAAACTTTGTCAAGAAGGATCTCTTTACCGATGAAGCGGGTTTTACAAGAAGAGGTATAACTAATACCCATAATGAACATGTTTATGCCGTTGAAAATCCGCATGCAATAAAGGTAAACCATTTTCAGCACTAATTCAAAATTAATGTGTGGGCTGGAATAATTGGTAATTTCATTGTTGGTCCTTTTATACTTCTACGAAGATTAACTGGAGAAAATTATTTGGATTTTCTACAAAACACGTTGCCAGAATTGTTCGAAAATTTACCTCTCCAACTTCGGAGAGATATATGGTATATGCAAGATGGAGCTCCACCACATTTTTCTTTAAACGTTAGAAACCACCTGAATGAACAATATCCATACAAATGGATAAGCAGAGGTAATGACGCACCTGTAAACTGACCACCACGTTCCCCAGACCTAACACCGATGGATTTTTATGGGGACATCTGAAATTCACAGTTTACAGGGAACCTGTAGAAAATGAGGAACAACTCTGGCAACGTATTCAAGATGCAATAAACAATCTTAGAGATGATGAAGAAGTAATGGAAAGGATGCATTTTAATTTTCTTCGACGTATAAATCTTTGTATGCGTGAAAATGGTGAACATTTTGAACAATTTTTGTAAAATCTCTATTTTTATTATGTTGTAAATAAATATTTTTGTGAAACCTATACACTCTAAATTATTAAAACAGAAATTTAGCGAAAACCATGAGAGTAATCGAGTCTTATCAAGAGTACCTTTTTTAAAGTAAATGAGTTGCGCAATCTAAATTTCATACTCAAACTCCTTTTCTTCCATTGGCGTAGAATTTTTAAAGGTGCAATTATTTAAAAAATCAAGTTCTACGCGTATGTATTATTATCGGAAATTTTAATACCATTTTTTTTGCCACATAAAACTCTACCAATATACCAAATTTCAGCAAAATCGCATATGCCGTTTTAAATTTATATGGGAAAAACGATTTAAAAATTGTAACTTCAAGGCCCTCTGGAGCCCAAACGAAGCAACTTTGTACTAAGGTAATTTTACTTAAATCGAC